TTTCACAATTTCAGGCTATCCAGGGGACGATCCTCGCAATAATAACCTTAGCATGACTATCGTCATGCGTCAGGTCAGTACAAGAGGCACGGGTTATTCGCTATGCAAATAAATGAAATAAATTAAAATTAATAAATATTTTTGTGCATAAAATTAATAATTAATCTGGAGCAACGCGACGGGTCAAACACTAGTACTATATATTGCAGATATTATTTAATTAAAATATAGGGCCTTGCTGCCTCTCCAATTATTCCAAAAGCAAGTATAAGAATGTATATAATTTTTAACGAGTGATTAGTGTTGGGATATAAGAGTAAATTGTCGTTTTATTGTACAAAATTTCGTTCCCAATATGTATTTTTAATTAATGTTCCAAAAGTCGATTTAAACATCAGCGTTGGTATTTTTTCTTTTCTTTTGTATGGATTCTAAAAATTCAGAAAATCATATGAATACACTCAATCAAATTTCAAGATTAGATGTAACGACAAAACTAAAGATGTTTTTAAAAAATTATCCTTAAGTCGTAGAGTTCCGCATAGGCCGGGCTGGGTTGAATATTTCGAAATCCAGGTCCAGCCTATATTTGAACGGATAGATCAAAGCCCAGCCCATGACTGTATAGTATAATCTATGGATCCAAATTGCATAAACTATAAAAGCTTATTTATTAAAGTAAGCTCGAGTTTGTAATTTTGGCGTCAAAATTATAAAGATAATTATGATGACTTCTATAATTTTGGCCAATCAGATTAAATATAGTATATCCATGGGCTTTTGGATCTGGATCCAAAGTTTGGAGACCAAGTTCGGCCCATGCGGTACCAATCCATGGATGCTCTATGGATAGTCCAGCCCATGCGGAACTCTATTAAGTCGAAAATTTTAATTATGAAACTGACTTCCACGCACCTATTGAAAATATTTCTTGTCAAATTTTATTGCGCAGTATTATCATATCAATAATATATCATATATAAGTAAAATAGGTTAGTTTGTCGAAATTTGATACTATGTAATTTGCTGATTCCGACAATTAGTTAAAAACCTGGCTTCTACTGACAACGATCTGGCTCCAAGCCACTAATATAAATTAATAAAATTCTTAATTGCGTGTAAATCTTGAACACGGAGAAAGTAATAACATCAAAATGGGTGGACTGCAAAGGATGAAATTCAAAGTAAACTTATAAGATCCTTGAATTCATGTAAAAAGAATGAAAAAGAACAGTTAGGATAAATAAGATCAAATGAAAAGGGAGGAATTGAAAAAATGACATTTCTCTTTTCAAAACCCAATCCTCAATTATATAAAATTTTTCCTTGAATTTGAGAGATAAGATCGATGAATATAACAGAAAATTTTGTTAATGCTATAAAATAAAAAAAAATGCAAATAAAATACTTATATCCCAAAGTTTGGTTAATAATAAATCGATCTACCCTTAAATTCCATTATAATAGAGTTTCATATTGTGCTTTTTGGTTATTTTTGTTTTGGTAAATCTTACCCATATTATACGCTTCGATTAGATGCCTTTGTTTCTTGCATTAGTTTTTCGATTCCTTCGATTGAGTGAAAGTCACATCTTTCCGTCATCATAGATTTCGTAAACCATGCTCCAATTTATGCTCATCAATTTTCATCACTATTTCCTATATTCTGTTCCGGGTGTTTTAAAATATATGGATCATGCACAGTTTGTAGTACAATTAGCCTTTAGAGCACTGATACTCAGACATAACAAACGGATAACCTAAGTTTTACAATTTTATTTCGTTATATACAGCCTGAATTGAGACAAATGAACTATTGTAAGCAATTAAGTTTTGTATAAGCTAATTCTGAATTAGAGTTTGAGTATTTGAGAATCTTTTCTAGGAAAATGTCCCTCCAAGGCTATGTTGATTTTGTGAATTTTTGTGAATAAAAATTAAATTTGCAAACCATCTAGTTATCCAATTTGAATGAACTTTTTTTACATTTTGTAAAGTTAGGAACTTAATATTAAGATAACCTTAATCCGACCTGAAATTATGTAAAAAAAATAAAAAAAAAACGAATGCAGTCCACATTTAAATTTTCACCGTACCGGGCTTAAGCTCCTCTTGTAATATTTATTGTGCAATTAAAGCAATTCCAATTATTGTTCTAATCGTTTTTGTTAATGTCTTAAATTATTTGCGTATTTGTGTGCCAGAACATTAATCGTACAATGATTAATTTATGTAATATCAATTTTTCAGAAATTTGTTACGGTGAATATTTAAATCTGCACTTACATGTTTTTCTTTGATAGCATTCATTCATAGAAAAATGTAACACAGCAAAAATGTTTAGAGGGTCATCTTATGACGAACTATATAATTGATTTTATTATAAAAACTCTAATTTTCTTAATTTTCTTATATATATAATTTTTGAAATATGTTTATGAATGAACATTTTTAAAGGTAAATGAGATTGATCTATGTTTGCGAATGAACTTAAACTATAATCACGATAACAATAAACTTTACAAATGTATTTCAAAGAGAATATTCATCACTTGAAGGTTCTTCCGCAAAAGTAAGTTCCTCTGTAGTATAATAGGCCCCTGGTATAAACATGCTATTTTCATTAAAGGTAGGTAACGTATTATGTAGCATATAAGGTTGTTCTCCAAATACAGCTTGATTATGAGAATCAAAAATCATATTGTTTCTTTGATGAAGAGGAAGAATAGGAAGAATATTGGAAGTAGAAGACAGAACGTCTATTGTAATAAGATAAATAGAATTAATACATATATAATATGTAATGGTCAAAAAATATTTTATTATAGAATTATAAATCTAAAATTGTACCTTGGGAAAAATACTGAGAATCCTCCGAGAAGTCAATGGAATTTTCATATTGTAGATTGTTAACTGGAAAGCCTTTATTCGAACAGATAATGAATTTTATAAAATTTAATACATATTTTATGCAAAAAAAAAAAAAAAGAAGATAGCATACTTGATAATAACAAAGCAGATTGTTCATTCATAAACGCAGTCGCAGACTGCGCGAATGATGCATTAGAAACTTCTCCGTTGTTGAAGCTTTTATCAATCGATTCTCCGGAAACTATAAAATATTTTTAACAAACGAATAACGAAAAATTTATAATATGCACTGCAAATGCACAATACCTTTACTAAGCATATCTTCAACGTTGCTAATTCTCTTAGAAAGATGATTAATTGCGTCATTTTTTTGCGCATGATGAATATTATGTGGTGTATTGTCCTGGCGATGTTTCGGACCACGCTTCTTTGGAGTTGGATAAAAACACACTAAATTGTTTCGAGTACAACAATCACACCGAGCTCCGCCGGTACACCTTGTCTTTTTTATCCTACAACAGCTACAAGCGTTTAGAATGTTTTTACGTTTATTTTCTTGTTTCCTTTTTTGTTTTCTTTGACGTTTTTCATGTTTTTCAACTTGTTTCTCGTTAGACATATTTATGAAGGAGCATGAAAGAAATTCAATAACGATTGTAAAAATAACAGAAAAATGACATATAAATCACGAGTTTTCTTACAAATCGCAAAAGGCGATCTGAAAAATTAAGTCTTGTTGCTAATTATATATATATGTGTGTTATAACCAGTGAATGAATAAATATTTTACTTTGTGATAAAGTGAATAAGAGGTCAGTATAAAAATAGTAAAATGTAAAAGTAATTTCCGGGGTAGAAACTTATTACGTATGTACATCTTCGCATTGACATGGAGCTGTACCCCGGAATTGATTTCCAATGAAAGCTAACACACGATGTTGAAATTCCGTATCACGTGATCTGTATTTCTGCATGTTACACGTAACACTAATAAAAGACTTTGTTAAACTCATCGAAAATTCCAGAATCCGTATTTTCCGTCCGGAGTTTCATTTCCTGTCATTTTACTGGTTAATAATTAATTTTCCTTACCTCACCCAAATTGTCTACCACATTGTGCCATGTGTCTAAGAAACACGCACAGGAATTTTTTATATTCCTATGTTCCTTTAATGCAGTTAATGGAATGTTCTAAATGTTGGAAAAGAAATTCGAGCAATTCCATAATGAAATTTATACAGGTTTAAAGTTTAGGAGATTTGAATTGTTATCAGCGAAATCTAGCTCCAAATTTAAAGGATTTTAGATTACTAAAAACTCATGTACAACAATAAAATTAGAAAGAAAGATAGAGAGAATAACAAAGTTGAAAAATCTATATAAACATGAAGTTTGATGGACCAAAAGCATCACAAACGCGAAGTATTTATTTGTGTGCCTGAAAAAATAATTATTCTTGAGTCAATTATCAAGCGACAACCTACAAAAATGAATTTAACTTCCAATTCGTATTACCCGTACTATAAGTTTAATACCAACTTATATCATCCATACTGCACACTATGTAGTAATTTATTGGAAACCTCTCAATTCAATGTACTCAAAGAGACACCATCACGGCCACAAAAATCGGAAATAACAAGAAAAACACGCTCTTACGTGACATTGGCGTGTACCAGTTGTCGTGATAAAAAGGAAAAGTGTTCGGGTGAAAAAGTATGCGCGAATTGTAAGCGACATAATCGCGAATGTATATACGTTCAACCCATTAAAAAGAGAGGACCTAAACCCAAATCTGCTGGGAAACCACTCATCACTCCGAAAATAGCAAATTTATTAAATCCAGCTGTTTAATTCGCAAGCATATTCTTGTAGTGATTGCAATCGATTTTGCACTAGCGATAAAATCAACTTAAGCGACTAAGTCAGTCGATTTTTTTAAAAAATTGGCCTAGCCAAGTGTTGACTATGTATATAGGAAATAAGGAGAATTGGACAATCAATCTACAAGAATGGGTAGCGGAAATTCGAGATATATATTATATATATACACATTTTTTTTGCATACACAGACAATTGACTTTGACCTAGTCGAGTCGACAAATTTAGGACGACTACAATCTTAATGTATAATAATATCTAGATATATAGAGCACTATTATTTATAGAGAATTATTTATTTTATTTTGTATTTTTTATTTCATTTTGTATTTTATTCATTTTATTAATTTGCATGTTGATTGAGAATCGTGGCTTGATGATGTCGTTATAACGCTTTTCCGCGTTCTTGTTGGTCGCAAAGGTATGCACCAATAAGAAATGCAGGAACACGGAAACAAAATTGTCATGCCGTCAGAAATGGAATGTAAACATAAAAATAGAGCTTGCGTACTAAAAACAATGTCTATTTAATTCTAATAAAACTCAGTTCGACTTGTGTTTATAATAATTTTTATTTTGTATTCATGAGTTTATTCATTTTATATTACTGACTCGATTTTAATACTGGGTCCACTTACTTGTAGATTAGAGTAGTGATGGGACTTCCTAAGTCATTAATTATTAATATTGATTATGATCGATCAAATTATTAACTAAAACGAATTAATAATTAATGGCGCAGCTAATATACAGAATGTATAAAAAATGAAAAATTTCGTATAACATTTTCTCAAATAATTACTAAGATACTTGCGGACTAAAACTGTTAATCTATTAACTCCGTTAAGTTTATTTAATTCAATGTATTATTAGCGACGGTCGAAGTTATTAACTATTAATAATATTAATAATGCATTATTAATTTTTTTAATTATTAACTAAAAGCTCAGATCCAATCACCAGATTAAAGCTATCCTGGTATCGCTCGTAAACAATGTAACTATGTCACAATTAAAATATTTTTTAAAGTATTGAATAAGTTAACATTGATATGCACTCATAGATGATAATTTTATTTAGCAACGTCAAAATCAAATATCTTATTAACTTTAAAACTTTTAACGTCAAGAATCTGATGATCGTATTTATTTCATGAAATAATGTATACTATATTGCAAATTGACTCTCCTTGATTTCATAACAAACAGAACTGACCATTGGTAATAAAAATTGATGTTTCTTATGCGTAAATTAATATATAATATAATGATGGTTCTACTTAGCTGTAATCTGGCGTAAGTGTTTGTATGAGGTTTATAAATATTTTCTTGTTACTTGGTAGACATGACGTATACATTACGGAAAATTTTTCATATCTTTGCTGCAGGTTTTTATAATAAAACTTTTAGCGCTAGAGAGAAATTGTTTGAAGTTTGTGTATTCCTTTTAGATGAGTTGTACAGCGAAAATGATAATACAAATCAGTTGGGTGTATCTAGATTTGGTAATTTTTAGTTCATTTTAGGAAAGTATAGGTTGCATAAAAGATGCATTTGTAAAAAATTACTCATAGTAGCGAATCTCGCTATTAGACTGAGTACTATTAGACTGAGCACAAGTTAACTGAGCGCTATTAGACGACCCGTGGTGAGAAGAGATGCACTGCTAACCCGCTCAAAAAAATTTTCGCTTTTCGAATAAGGGGTCTTTATATATAATAAAAAAATTAATTGTGTTACGAGAAATTAATTGTGTTACGAGTCAACTAAAATCACATCTAATTATAATAATAATAATAAAATAAAATAATCAGTTCGGAGGATAAAATAAAATAAATCATCTCGGTAAATTCCTATTAGGCTTTGCTGGAAATGAAACGTACTGTACTAGGGTGTTCCACGGTATATTTAATCAAACCTATGTAAGGTATATTAGTAATTTTAATATGATCATATTTTTTATCAGCGAAATTAAAATAATCAGTGAAAATATTTACATATGCTTTAAATATGAAAAAAGTGTAAGATTCTAAATAATTCTCACGATCACCTTTTCTCTTTATCTTTGCTCTTTCGATTGTAAAGTGTTGTTCTAGATTGTCCCAAAGTAATTATGTTTTTTTTTTAAAAAAAGAAACCCGGAATTATTAAATATTTCATATTAATGAAACTTTTTTTAATAAAAAATTAAAAATTGGCGGTCTTTTTAAAAAATAACCACTCCAATTTATAAAGTTTATATAACTTGGCAAATATTTAAACATAACTTTGTTTTTAAACCTTATACAAACCCGCTTTAAAAGTTTGGTAGTAAATTCATATTTAACAAATTGTAATGAAACGTTTTAAAATATATATTAATAGCGTTATATATAAATAATAGACAAAATGCCAAGAATATCCAAACTAAAACTTAAAGCACGTAAAGCTAATCAGGCATCGGTTAATGCACGAAAGGCTGCTAAGCGAGATGAACAAATTCAAATCATCAATAAAGAACTTTTACAAATGAATGATAATGAACTTCAACTAATTTATCAAGATCTTGTTCAATCGGCTGATGATAAAAAAGTAACCAAAATTACACATCGCCAAAAACTTATTGATACTATTGAACAATTGCCGGACGATCAATTAAAGTCTGCAATTCACTTGTTAAATAAAATGAAATATTCCAAGGGGCCGCATGAGGGTAGTTTATTTTCTCTTTTATCCAAAATAA